GGATGATATTGAAATTAATTTTCGCAATTGGAACGAGTTCCAATTACGAGGACTTTAGGCATCCGGATTGAGAAAAGAATGCGTCTCAATTTCACCGAAACCAAAATCGGTTCTCGGCGTCTGCGTTCCACGGAACCAAAACCCTTTCGGCGAACAGACACACACGCATAAATAAAGAAATAAACATATAAACACACATCCATGCGATGCACACAGGCGACAGCTGTCTAGTAGCCCCAAAACCAGGAGGAATTTGAGGAGGGTGTATGGCCTCATCAAGTCTTCCTTCGGTCCCATGCCAGTCCGAGACCGGTGCCCACATTTTATTCACACCATTCGCGGCTCGCCTAGTTCGGCTCGAGTCCGCGTCTACCAAAGGATGGAGGCGAGGGTTCGTCTGTACATTTGGAACCACTTGGGACTCTCCTGTCTCTTCTGTCACGCACACGCACACGCACACACACACACACCTAAAACACAAGTGAAAAGGTATGTAAAAAAATTGGGTTTTGAATAATCACTTAATAGATTGATGTTGGAGCACCTTTCATTTCGTCACATGACAGACGAAAGGTCAACAAGTATTGATTGGGGTCGCAGGGAGGTGTACCGAGGACCTATTCACACAACTCTACAACCACAGCGCCAAGAGACAACCCCCCCACCCCCAGCCTAGGGTGGAACCAAGTTGCGAATCCCTCCCACTCGCCTCTTCAAGCGAAATGAAAGCGACTCTAAGAGTAAAATGGTTGGCGTCTCTTTGGTACGAGTAGTTGGCCGCCATGTTGAATGCTGATTGAACTGATTCTGTTGTCATGGCAACCTGTGGGATAGAGCAATTCGTGGATGCGAGTGTTGGTGGAGGACTCGGCACGAGCCTAAGGGTGGTGTAGAACTGGGGCTCGGCCAGGACGGGACCTTTCAGGCGGTAGGAAAGACTGTTTTGAGGAGGGCGGAGCCTCGAGAGTCCCAATGCCAATCAATCAATGCGGACTGACGAGGTCCTGTTGTCATGTTCTGGCGTTCTCGGCTCTTGTAAATCTCGTCAAGACGCCCTTTCACACGAACTGAGAGTCAACTCAACACCACCTTAAATAAGACCAACGTACCGAATGGGATGGAGGGGGGAGGAAGGTGTGATTTTGTCTGTCGTCTTCGCTCAAGCCCCCATTCTCATCTCTTTTTGATGCTGCATTTGTCAGGTCGAGATGACCGGAAACGAGCTGGCCGACTACATACACCCGCTGGACCAGGAGGAAGTAAAGCAGCTCTTGTCCATCCAGCCCGGCGAACTGACCAATCCCGGCGAATCTGGCTCCGCAGAGGAGACGGGTGAGTTAACTGTACACACACACACACACAAGTTCACATGACAAATGCCTTATTGTAACTTTCTCCAGGTTTTGAGAGCACAAAGAGGATGAGACTTTCCCCTCTTGAGCACCGATTTGGGCTGAAATTTATTTGGAGCTCGAGTCCGGTCGGGGTTGTGACAAGAAATGTATGGATTTTAGTTTGGGTGTGGGATTAGAGAATTCTTAACTTTCCTATTGAGTATACTTTGGAACGGATTATTAGTAGATCTTGAATAAGATGCTGCATAGGCTGAGGTCTCTTTAGGTGATGTAATAACTGATGGCAACATTTCTTACAAGGATGGAAGGGGAATTTTTGCATTATCGACCAAGACTACTTATTGTGAACGTAAGTAGGCTCGTCGATTGCGACGATAAAAACAGGCTTGTTTTAGCGAATGTCGACGTGTGACCACGATGCATACGATCCGAGTTTGAATCCGGATACGGGTGCTGATGGGCAAAAACAAAAATGAAGTCCGGCCGGGATCACTCTTGACGCGATTCAAGCTCGATTCGTTTGTCTAAAGCAGTTGGCTTATGATGGAATTGATGCAAAGGCAAATGTGTATTTAGTATTAAATTTATTTTTCGAATTAATTATTGTTTTCGTGACTACCGGTAAATCAGTAGTATGAGATGTATTCACCCAATCGACTCCAGCTGAGGGTGTTGATAAGACCGATGCAATGTCGAAACTGCAGATCACCCCAGCCGCGATGTGAACAACTTTTGGGAAAGAAAGGCAATGTGAAATTGAATGTAAACGTTAGCTCAACTCATATCATTGTGGGAAAATTCTTATTCTACCAGTCCTTCATCACTTTAAACAAAATTGTGTGAATACATCTCATACTACTTATATTTATTAGGGGGGCCTTCATTTCGAATGAAAGTACATGATGAAGAGATTCGTTTGTCGAATGCTGGATCCAACGGTCAGAAGTGGCCGAACACATGGTAGAAACAGGACATGAAATAGAATGGTTTCAAACAAGTAGGTTTGCTGACTATGGTACGTCTGTGTTTGAAAGA